GAGAGAGAGAGAGAGAGAGAGAGAGAGAGAGAGAGAGAGAGAGAGAGAGAGAGCTTGGAGGTCGCTACCTTGCAGAGGCCAGTGATCTGGTTACTGGTGCGAGCTTAGCCTTTGTAAGGATTTTGAGGGAGCCAAGCGGTTTGATGCTTGTACACTAGCTGAAGTCATTTGCATGCTTGGTTGGAAACCGATGGCCACTTCTTCACTGGGGAAAATGCATGGAAGGCTTCCCAAATCAAGACTGCAGTTCGGGAGGGAACTCGTCAGGGGTTCGGAGATGGAGATTCCGGCAAGAGTCAGAGAACCTAAATCAAGGGGAAGTAATTTTCTGCAATGAACGACTAGTGGGAGAGGACTGAAGCTCGTGGAACCGCAACCCCAAGGAGATCAGACGGGGATTAGGGCTGGAGAAAGAAGTGTGGCAACTGTTTGGAATGAAACAGGCATTGATTAGAAGCCACCAACTGAGCTTAGAGAATCCCTAAGAGTGTGCAACAAATGATCGCGTCAGTCTCATCAGAATGGATAGATCTCACCAAGCCCATTTGGTGGAATGGAACACCCATGAACTGTTGATGTACAGACCTGAGTTTGGATCCTGATGGAAGGAAATGAGTAGTATAACAATTCGGAAAGGGTATCAATTATCTGGGTCCGATCAGTTCGACAATGATACGTCAAGGCCAAAAGGAACGGACCAATCTTCCAAAAGCGGACACAGTGGCTAAGAAGGGAATGGTCAGTCCTCAAGCCACAAGTAATCCCAGATGAGGGTATGGCTTTGTGGGACTACAAGGCGGCAGGAGAGAGTGAATCAGATTCATCTTGCACACCCTTGAAGAGCCAGGACCAGAAATTAGTGAGAGAGGGTAAGGAAAGACTTGATGAGAAAGCTTCAGCGCCTGGAACAGGCATGGAATCTCATAAGCTGAAGAAACGACATTAGCATTAGATGGTTTTAGTCCTAACCTAGCAGCGTATTCCACAGGGTTAGGTTACACACTGAGAAGCATGTCCGTAGGAGCTCCGGACTCAATCCTAGCCCGGAAATGGTGTGATCTCCTCAATGCAGGTCCAGCGGAGCTTGAAGAAAATCCCCCCACAAAAGATCCCCTTACTGAAGATCTTCCCGTGGCATAAAAGCCCATGCTCAGGCTGCCCTACCCTGCTTCAGAAATCTTCAACGTCCACTGCTGTACATAGCAGTGCCGGTCCACAAATGGACGAATAAAAAGTCCACTGAAGGAGCTTTGAGGATACTGCCGAGAGGGTCGAGCAGCTAATCTTTTCTTCACCATCGTCCATGGTTTCTTGGAGTGTGAGCATGTTGTGCCACTCGGGGACAAGACGGAACAAACCTGGGAAAAGATAATGGGCAAGCGATTCCCATCAGAGATGCTCTACTATTTCTGATAGGCTTCAATGCAGCACGAATTGGCTGGTCTTCAAGAATGACCTTTACCGAATTTGAGTGACACGCATACTGTCGACAACATGGAAGAAGAGGTGCCAAGAAACCATGGACGGAAGACCCATCTGTGCACCGGAGGCCTGGGCCCTAGCCCAAGACGATTTGGCAGAGGACCAGACACAGTATGGAAAATGTGCCAGAGAAGCAGCATTCATTCAGAAGAACGGCCAGAACCTCTTTGCAGACGGCAAAATGGGCTCAGTAAGAGACAAAACATTGATCCATCAACGGAGGGAAGGGATTATCGAGGGAGGATAGTAAATCAAGCAGGACAGTCTGCACCGACGGCGGGACTTAAGAAATTCGCACGTGTGGGGCCTAGGAAAGGAATGCAAGATGCCATTGAGTTCAAAATTGAGGGCCCCAAGGAGAAGTACAGAACCGGTTCTGGAAGAAGAAAGCTGCACCAGCGCACAGAGGCCCGCTTGGGTACTTTACAAAGGCAACTCTGGAGACGATGTTTTCCTTCCTTCCCCCGCTCCCCTCCCCCCCTCCTCTCCCCCCCCCGGGGATGGTCCCAGGCGCAGAGCACGAAGCCAGAGAGAATACACCAGAAATGTACTCCAGTCGGCGGAGAAAGATGAACAATGGTTAAGGAGGCAGGTCGAGGGCTCCATTGGGGCAAAACGCGAGGCAGCTCAACGAACTTTGGAGCAGAGATGGTTTAAAACATGGTATGCCCCAGCATTAGGCAGAATGTGCATCCGGGAAGCTCACTACCCAATCAAGGGGCCAATAGTTGCATTGCTCTAGGTTTCGTAGAGGTTCCTGGCAGCCTGCAATTACAGACTAGCGGACAAGTTCTCAGCCTGTTTCTTAGGCAGAGTAGAAAACAGCATGGAGAGAAGGGCTGTGATCTACTGTATGGCCATATCCGACAGCCAATCCTCACACATGGGAACAATCAATGCTGTTGGAGAATCCTAGCCGTGATGGGAGGAAGCGGGTAATTGTGTATGTTTTGGGACTTACTGCCGTTACCGGTGGAAAAGGCACTGCACTGATGCCCCCTGCACTCCCCCCACATAGAAAGGCCCAATACCATGAGCGTCCTCAGACGTGCTCACGTAATCACCGCCATGCGAAAGATGTCACCGAAAAAGACTGGATATCTACCGAGTACAAGGCATTGAAGGCAACTATGGCGGCACGCCTGGCAATATCGCTTCGCCATTTCCTCCCAACTTCACAGCGAAAATTGATAACCTGCTACTCGTTCTTATTTTTCTTGATCTGCCTCACTAGTGGTATGCGTAATGGCCTGCCAATATGCCACAACTGGTTGAAAGGTCTAGGGTATGGGAAATGTGCAGTGGGCTCATAAGACCCAGTCCCGGGTTCAAATCCTGGCTCTGCCAACCAGCGAAACCGCGATCTATAGCCCTACGGCGCCTGGTATCAGATCCCAGTGCCAAGAAAAATGGCATTTGACTGATAGTACAGTCCCTGCCAATGTGCAACAGCTGGTTGAAAGGTCTATGGTACAGGAAATGTGCACTGGGTTCATAAGACCCAGTCCCGGGTTCAATCTTTTTTTTTTCGTTCCAGCTATACATGACAAGTTGTCAGTTGTTAATGACTGGGGCCCTTGCTGGTGGGAATGCTAGGTTCTTATGTTGAATTCCTTCTTCTTCATTGGATCAGTCTATATTCCAGTTAATGACTGGGGGGCTTGCGTTTTTATTCACCGCGTTCCATCTGGTTTTGAACTCAGGCCTGTATGCCAGCAGTTCATGGGTGTGCCGACTGAGCTAGTTAATGACTGGGGACCTCGCTGGTTTCCGACGGTACCCGGAATTGCTTCGTTAATGACTGGGGGCCTTGCTGAGCATGTAATAGTGTTTGGAATGTCTTTGGTTTCGACTTGATGTCATTTGGCTGCTCCACTGCTCAGATGAACTTGTAGACAACTTAGTCCCTTGTTATCTGGCTCATCTCTCTCAGGCAACCATCTGAAACTTGAAGACAGTGTGGAGGTTCGAAGTAGCCGTGGAAAGAATGCCCGAAGTAAGAAGATAACAGGAGTACAGGTGCGCTTCCTGTCCTATCAGAATACCTCCCCCTCCACTATGGCAGTGCATCCAAGGCATGTATCTAATGTTTTCTCCCCATCCCCATTGTGTCTCAGTGGCTGTCAAATTGCTTGCACTGTGTTAGTAGGTGTTCTCGTCTCGGTGACTGTGTTGTCCAGTGTTCCTGTGGCTGAACATATGTTGTCAATTGATTCTATGACATGCTCTGGGATCTTAGCTATAAGGGGACTCCCACAAAATCCCACCCTGTAACTGCTACTGGGTTGCTGCACACCACCGCCTTGTTCCTGTAATCCTGGTACATGACTTAAATCCTGTGTTCATTGTTATGCAATGCTGATCTGGGGCAAGGGGGGGGGGGCGGGGATTGCCACGTTTATTTTCTGTTTGCGAGTTTTCTAGACTAGTTTTTCTCAGTTGACATCTGGTGCACCCGCAGCTTGCAAGTGGTTCAGAAACTGCAGGCACAGGGTCAGCTGTATCAAGGTGTGAGCCACCCGGAAACACGTTGTTGTCTGCCCTCGTCCCAGTCAAATTGTGCTAGCTGAACCACAGCACTAGCTTCCCATTAGGTAGGCTAGAAACACCTTCCTTTGTTTCCCTGTGTGTTTTCTGTTGTTGTTTCGCTTTGCACCTTTGCACCTTGATCTAAGTTCGCTTTGCCCTCCAGGGCCACAACCACCACGGAAGTGCGGCTTGCAATCGTACCTGCTGTCCAGAACGCATTCTCTTGTTTGCACGACAGTTGATTAGGCATGCATGATAAGCCTCCATACATGTTTGCGGTGCTTGGTTCCGCCTGCCTGTGCATGTCATGTATCTTACCTCAAGCCGATTTACAAGCCTTTTTGTGCTGGAAGGGTGTGAAGTGCAACTTTGAACTCATAATGCTGACCAGTTTGTCATTGTTTGGTAGCTCTTCACCCCCAAGGATTAAAGAAACAGGGTGGTAAGGGGCCACCGAGGGTTAAAGAAACAGGGTGGGTTAAAGAATCAGGGTGACAAGGGGGCGTGAAACCCCACACCCAGCATGATATGCAGGATCTCCTCTCCCTGTGACCAGTCTAGACTTTTTGGGTTGCACAATTCACTCTGTAGTTTTTCATTTGCGAAAACTTGTCAGGGTACGGATGGAATCGGTTGGATATAGATCCTGATATCTGTTGGTCCTGGGCTCTTTCTGTTAAAACTCGTTCGGAATGAATAATGCAGCACATGCCAGGGGACGGGAGGAAGGTCCTAATCACATCAAATGACTCACGGTTGCGGTTGTATGATGGTATGAAGCTGGAATGCAAGTACAAAGGTGAGAAACGTCAGTCATTTTCTGTGACTGGGGATGTGATGCTTCCAGACTGGTTTTGCTGATATGCAGTCCCTTCCATTTGTTTTATAGGCTCAGAGGTAGTGAGGGCCTCCGTAGCGGATGAGTTGCGGATCTGATCGATTAAATACACACTTTTCTTTAACAATCATGGAGCACCAGTTGAATGAGTGGCCATGTCTATTTTAGAATGGTTGGGTTTTCCGAAAACAAAAAAAAAGCATGGCTGATTTTTCAAGACATCTTGTAAAAGGTGGAATGATACAGACAACATTAGCATGGCCGGTGCTCAGCTCTTGTTTTTGGTGCTCAGCTCTTGTTTTTGGTGTGTACGCTGTCGGTATCATACGCGGAGTCTCTGAGGAACTGGAATCACATTTCTTCTTTTCAAAGGGTGACGGCCTTAAGGTATTGTCGTGGAACTTACCAGCCCCAGGTAATTCAGAGTTGTTTCACTCACCCACTTCCATCAGGATACGAAGTTGGGCCTGTTTATCAACAGCTCACAGGTGTACCATTGAGCCACACGAGTTTGGTACGGAAATCACATTCGTCATTCATTGATGATGTAAACGAAGTTCTATTACAACACATCTGATTCATCCTTTCTTTCAATTTCAGATTGGTGTCATGTAACTTTCTGGTGGTTCACTGTCACATTACTCTCACACACACTACCGTCTTCACCCGATTATAACGCCCGGTCATTATGGCCACATTTGGCTCACATTTCTGTCCAGATGCAGCGAAAATGACTGTACAACGTGTATGATCTATTCGGGGGAAGAAGGAAGTGCTTCCTAACATGTATCTGACTGCAAGTACAGCCATACCTGGATGGATCTGACTGCGATGGTGTCCAGAGCTTACTAGAAGTCCTAGTGGGGGTATGTCCTCACTGTCTGTTACATGCTGAGCCTGCAAACGAGGGCCTTTTTAAGGCCCTGTGTTGTTTTCAGCCTAAAAGCCTGAAGACAAGGGCCTACAGGTCCTGTGTCGTTTTCAGCCTAAAAGCCTGAAAACAAGGGCCTACAGGCCCTGTGTCGTTTCAGCCTGAAAGCCTGAAAACAAGGGCCTACAGACCCTGTGTCGTTTCAGCATAAAACAGGGCCCTCCAGGCCCTGAGTCTTTTCAGCCTGAAACGGAGGGCCATTTTCAGGCCCTCATATGATCGACCTGCCCTGAAACTTAGGCACCAGACCAGGGTTTTAGCACAGGCCATTTCGGGCCTGTTTTCAAGACCACCTTTGTTTGAACTTCAACGCCAGGGTCTGCACTATATAAGACTGGTCCGCACTACAGGCAAGAGCAGCCTCCTGGACGGGCCAGCACTATATAAGACTGGCTCGCCCTGCAGGCTGCAGGTAGTTCATAGGGACTTCCCAGGCACTTCATGTGCAGTTCAGGAGGCAGGAGGTAGTCTTCAGGATTCGGCAGCAGCACTCTGGGGGAGCGCTGCAGTAGTAGTAGTAGCGTTAGCAGTAGTCTTCAGCACTGGGCGCTAGTAGTAGGAGCTAGAGTAGTACTGGAGGGAGAGAGAGATTGGGCGGAGGCCAGGGAGACTTACCTGCAGCGCCATAGCTCCAGCTCGTCTCGAGGTACCTGCAGTACAGCGCCATCTTCACAGGTTAGTACCTGGCACATGAGAGAGAGAGAGAGAGAGAGAGAGAGAGAGAGGGAGAGAGAGAGAGTTCTTATTCTTCCTCTTCTCAGTCCACCATCTCCCCCTCACCCTCTCGCTACCTGACTTCACTGCATCAGCAGACTATGAGAGAGAGGGATTGGTGACATTTGGATCCAGACTCGACATTGGGCTTCAGACATTTGACGAGGGATTATCTGGGACTTGTACCGAAGAGTTGGTGTTGACGACATTTCCATCTTCCCCCTCTTCTTCGTCTGATCCCCTCCTCTTCGTCTGTGTATGGTCTGAACCTGGCGCACTCTTCCTGTGTGTAGCGTCAGGCCCCCTTCACACCTTGTGATGAGGATGATGTATGTTTCCTCTCACCTCTATACTTGCACCACACCATCTGCAAGCAAAATTTGCAAATGTTGCTTCCTCCTTTTGGTGTGCATGCGACGAATAGTCAAAGAAATACTAGGCCCCCAGCGGTGATGTCCGGCCCGCTTTTGTTAGCCAACCTACATAGCCATCCAAAGCACATAGCCAACGAAGGCACGCAGTCAAGCAACATGACCAGCCAAGCCACATAGCTGGCCAGGCCATAGCCAACGAAGGCATGCAGTCAAGCCACATGACCAGCCAAGCCACATAGCTGGCCAGGCCGTATAGTCAGTGAAGCGACAGGGCCAGCTAGCCATGTAGCCAAGCCCCTAGGCAGGACAAGCCACATCGCCACCCACATGGCCAAGCCACAGCCAGCCAAGGCACATAGTGAATGTGCCTGGCCAGCTAAGCCACATAGGGCAGCAACATACCCAGCCAATGCAAATGATCCGGTGGTCCACGTAGCCAGCCAAGCCGCATAGCAAACTAACCATATAGCCAGGGCAAATGGTCAGCGAAGCTACATAGCCAAGCCACACTTGCATCACAGGTACATACCTAAAAGCCACATAGCGAACCCAGACAAGCCAAAAGCCACATAGCCAACCAAGGACATGGCTAGGGACATAAGGCACATAGCCAAGCTAGGCACATAAGGCACACAGCCAAGCTACATCTACTACATTATATCGACACTGATATGTCTGTTGACTGGCTACATAGCCAGTTTAGCCGGATTTCCAAGCCACACAGCCAAATCATAAGGCCAGTGAACCTACATAGCCAGGCCACATAGCCAGTCAAGCCACATAACGCGCAGAGCCACGTGGTCAACCAACAGAGACAAAAAAAGTACTGTGGACCTGATATCGCAAGCCCACCAAACTCCTCCCTGGTGTGCTGGATTGTTCTCCTCCAATGCTTCCCCGAAATCACGAGTGCCTTTATAACTCCTTCAATTCACTCTTTCAAAGTGGACGCATTTCAATTGCCTCTTCCTCCCTTCTTCCTCATTGGCTGAAGCGCTTATTCTTGTCGGTGAAGCAGTGCTGGCTCTGCTTTCCTTTCTGTATATCCCCTTTCCCTTTTGTTCGCCAATCTCATGACACAGTATACTTTGCTGGGCATCCAGTGGAGTTCCGTCTCTCATCTTTGTTGGAGCTGAGCTTTGCAACCAGATATGTACTGAGAGTGCGGGTAAGTCTGCACATTCAAAACTCAAACGAACTCAATTGTTGTGTAGGCGAGCACTTGACTTCATCAGAAAGTCTGGATGAAGTTCCAAGGATAAAAAATGGTGTGGAGCAACCGGACTGTTGCCTCTCTTTTGTGTAAAAGAAAAGGGAAGAAAAAGGAAAATGGAGTGTGGTTTGAGCAGGAGAGAAGTTGTCGAGGATGAGATCATGGGTTCTTGAAAATTTTGGTAGGAAATGGGACGTATTGTGCCTTACAATTGCATGTCTTTTTCATGCTAATGGGCATTGTTTTAATCGCTCTCTGCTGGGCTGTTAGTTGCAGAAATTCTGGGCTGTGTCAGTGCTAGTGTTCTTCACCCGAATAGAATGCCCGGTCATTATAGCTGTATTTGGCACAAGTCTTTGTCCAGACGGAGGGATAACAACGGGGCGTTCTATTCGGGTGAAGACGGTAGTGCTAGGATGCTTCTATGCGCACAGGTGACCGCACTCGCTCTGCTCAGTGAAGATTCTTCGATGTAAGTTTGGGCAAGTCGTAGATGATGATGATGGGTTTTGGGGCTGCAATGGGTTTCCAATGGAGTGAAATTGAGCAGACGAAGCAAACGGTTTGACAGGTCATGACCATTATGGGAGGAGGGAGAGCTTTAACCACTGACCAGATGCATTTATTTTTGTGACCATTGGCCTGCTTGCATTTTGTTTTATTTGTTTTACCGCTTCCCCAGGACATCGGAATGCTAGCAGTCTGGCGGCGTCGTTCAGTGCAAACGGAGACTTCCTGATCTGTGCCAGTGAATGCTCGCATGTGTTCGTTTGGAACACAGTCAACTCGTATGTGCCTTCAAACCTCATGTATACAAGTTACAAAAAGGTGCGTGCTCTATTTAACGCCAAACTTTCCCATCAGCGATGTTTTAAGGCACACTAACAACCTTGATATGGTGTGCCGATTTCTGGTCGTGTGCTTGATTCAGTGCAAATGGAGAGTTTTTCTTATATGTGCTAGGGAATGTTCATTTGATGGACCCAACTTGTGTACCCTCAAATTTCAAGTTACAGGTACACCTCTGACTAGGTTCATGCAATGATAACTTTGCCCTCCTGTAAATTGTCAAACTCCAAGCCTACGAACCAACAACGGCGGTCACCGGTGGTCCCGACTGCACAGATTGCGGGAACTGGGGAAATAACTCGACGGTCTTCACATAAGAATTGTCCTGTGCGGGGCCTTCAATCACCACTCCAAGGCGTTGCTGGTTTTGACCAACAGCAGGCAGAGGGCTCAAGGCCAGCGTGCATTTGCATACTTCCCCAAGTGCACAAGGCCGAAGGGCTGCAGGGTATGCTTCCCTGAAAACGGCCGCTCTTCGAGCTTGCATCACAGCTCCAGGCACGAAGTGCAGCAAGAAATGCTGGACACGAAGTGCAGAGTCTGCAGACACGAAAATCTACAGTGCCCAGGCCCAGTAGAGGTTTGGTGGGGAAGGGTAGCACAATTATTTTTCCTCATGGCAGCACCCTATATTTTACGCTTGGAGAAATGCAACTTCTGGTTCGTCAAAACAGGTCCGGATGGAGTGGTGGTTTAAGGGGATCAGCCTAAGACCGTTCTGTTCTGACACCGAGTGAGGTCTCGAACAATCAACATGATCAAGATTCCAATCTAATGCTCGATTGGTCGGACCGGACGGACCGTGTTCGTATCGCATTCAAGGGAACACATGGAAGCCTGCAACATCACTCTCCACTGACTGACAACAAGAAAAGAGTCAAAATACTAATTTGCCCCTGGTTCGGGTAGCAGGGGAAGAAAAGGAAGGCTATTTTGCCTATGAAATAGACAAGCCAGTCTTCCAACTACCATTTGACCCAGAGGAATGGGCTCAGGCAGACAAGGAGATGAACATGACATGGCACAGCATGGTCAGAGGTGGCTATAGGATTGCACCATACATGCGGCGCATCACGTGCGTGCAAGTTGCGCATGTGCGCCACATAGCGCATGCGCGCACGTCCGCATGGATATGATGCGATGCAATTACGGAAAAAAAAAAAAAAATCGAATACAGCAGGTTGTGGTAACCAAATGTGTGCCTCCTTTTTGAAAATTGTAAGTGCAGTGCGCACAGCAGAAAAAAACAATTCGGCACCACATCGTAATCATTGGATCTAGTCTCTTTTCCAAAAGGATCCCCTGAAAAGATTAGCAGGGATCCCACGCATTTGAAAGGACGTTCATCGAACTGCAAGAGGATCACGAGCAGGCCAGCATTATATTCTGGATTCAGATTCAGGTCTGTGTTCCATGAGTTATGGGTTACGAACAAACTCTACAGTAGCTGTCTCGTTTTTTTGTTTTTCCTTTTCTTACGAGCAGTGCCCCTCAGGGCCTCTCGTCAGCACTCGCACAAAAGAAAAACGTATGGCTTGTATGGTTCCAGTTTCGAGGAGAGATTCATTCTAGTTTTGCACATTTGGTGAGTAGTGGAGTGAAGCCCTGAAAATCGCATGCCAAGTTAGTCAGTCAGTAACCCATAACTGCTGAAACACGCGCCAAAGGACTCCTCTCTCTCTCTCTCTCTCTCTCTCTCTCTCTCTCTCTCTCTCTCTCTCTCTCTCTCTCTCTCTCTCTCCAGCGTGTATACACGCATCAGGGTTGCTTTTTTTTTTTGCGCATCTGCAATCAGCGCACCACGCAGCGCGCAACGCACTGTGCAGCGCACCTCACGTATGCACTGCAAGTATGGGTTGCACATCGAGATATACCCTGTGACTAAGAAATTTGTATCTAGGTGAGAAAGGGGACTCACCCCCCCCACCCTGGAGAACCGGGATGTGATAGCCTTTTCGCGGAACCCGTCTAGAAGGTCATCGCTAACTTCCTCCGATAGAAAGGGCTGTCCGATGACAGATTAATCACATCTGCTTGCAGACCCCGTATTGTATCGTGTTAAGGACTGACCTCAAACAAAAGGGGCGATCCACTCACCTATTTGTTCGTTTCTTTCTCATTTTTCTCCCTTACGGTTGAACCACTACTACCTTTCACAGGCAACCTCGGAACATCAAAATGCCATGCATCGCAGTCTTCGGAGGCCAAGTGACCCCCCCCCCTGGAGAACCGGGATGTGGTAGCCTTTTCGCGGAACCCGTCTAGAAGGTCATCGCTAACTTCCTCCGATAGAAAGGGCTGTCCGATGGCAGATTAATCACATCTGCTTGCATACCCCATATTGTACCGTGTTAAGGACTGACCTCAAACAAAAGGGGCACTCACCTATTTGTTCGTTTCTTTCTCATTTTTCTCCCTCACGGTTGAACCACTACTACCTTTCGCAGGCAACCTCGGAACATCACAATGCCATGCATCGCAGTCTTCAGAGGCCCAGTGACCAAAATGTCTGGTGGCCCCAGCCAAAGGAAGAAAAAGAAGTCGCGCTGGGTCTTGGCAAAGCTTGGCGCGCAGTTCTTTTCCACCTTGCTAAAAGGAGGATCGCAGGTAGTGGTAGTTTATTAAAAAAGGGCGACGGGCTCGAGACATCATCGCTGAACTGACAGTCCCAGGTAAATTCATAATTAGCTGAGGTTCAAACTTTGGACTGTATTTCAACAGTTCATGGGTGTACCAAGTATTTGCCTGGAGATGTAATCTTCAAAGTGACCGGCCCATGTAAGTCCGGAGTTATTTACCCGTCTGAGTTGGTTGGGGTCCGAACTGAGGTCTGTATTTCAACAATTCATAGGTGGTGTACCAACTGAGTATTTGCAGCTATTGCGGGGTTAGCTCCCAAAGGTCCACAGCGACCCTGGAAACGATGCCTCCTGGCCTGTTCGACACCAATTCAAATATGGTGGTGGTGGGATGCAGAATTGATCTACCTAACTGGCAGGCTGGCACACAACGCCCCTGCAATTTGAATCATCTCTCATTTGACAGACTGGAAGATTTCCTAACAATTGGAGGCACATATGAGCACCTGTTCTGTACCACAAGACTACCTTCTTCCCCCGAGTAGAACGTACGGGCATTATCCCTGTCTCTGGATGGAAAGTTGCCTCAAATACAGCTGAAAGATTTATAGATTTTTAGACTGTAAGTGGGGATTCTTTTGTGGCTTTGGGGAGCCAGATGTAACTTCGAAAGAAAACAGCACGCCTATAGTTATCACCCCTGGATTGGTCTGCGACCGACCAGCCGACCATTCGACCGGTCGGCAAGAACTGGCGGCTGTCGGTTGGCACCCTGCAAATTTTTATTTATTTTATTTTATTTTATTTTTTTCAGGTTGCGGGCTCCATAACTCTCAATAACGCCTTTATACACCCCCCCCGACACTCCCATACGCCGGCCCAACACCCCCATACAGCCCCTCCAACACCCCCATACCTGTCCCCAACACCCTCATACACCCCTCCATAGCCCCTTATACCACCCCTATACCCCCCCCATGTCACCTCCCCAATCCCAAAAGTTTCTTAGCGGATTTGGGCTGTATTCAGCAAGTGCAGTACAGCCCAGAACACAGCATTGAAACAAAATCAGTGGATGGCCCTCTAATGGAATGCAGCATTGTGGATGGCCCTCTAATGACTGGTCGGCAGCCGCCTATGGGTTGGCCCAGACGGTAGGCAAGAAAACCATTGGCCGTAGGTGTCGGCGGTAGGCAGTCTAACAACCCTGGAGAGACGGGGGATAAAAAGAAAACACTGATAGGAAGAGACGAAACAACAGCACAGAAGAGAGAAATGAAATAGACTCGGGGCAACAGAGAGGCCGGCCCTGGGGTGGGCACCCGAAAATAGGATCGAGCTAGATGCGAGGTAAGGTGCCAATCCAGAGGGTTCTCTCTCAATACAGGCACAGTGGATTTGTCCTGGGGAAGCTGGATCTGGTTTCCAGCCATTGCCGAAGTTGGCTGATGGCTCCAGTACATACTGGTTAGAATTGTGAGGTCCATGGCCTGGATTGGAACTTCACACTGTGTGTGGTGGGGGGGGTGGGGGGGGGGGGGGGGGGGGGGCGGAAAGAACATGGAGGCTCTGTCGACCTTGTCGTTATCGATGGAGGCCGATCATAAAAAAAATAGATGCCATTCAGATGGGGGAGCTGATGGGAAAGGAAGTAGAGCTCCAGGAAAAAGGGGCAATGACGGGGTTATGAATGGGCTAAGTACAAAGGATGTTGACAAAGAATAAAAAAGGAGGCGGTCCAAGGAGGAATAATGGGGAACTTGCCACGAGCACCAATGCACAGCTCTTTCATCGCGCATATGAAACAGTACTAAAAGGTTGGTGGCGGACTGTGTGATGATTCGTCATGTTCTATTTCTGCAGGATAAACACCAGTCCTACGAGTACTTTTACTCTCCGAATGTTACAGTCGCAAAATTCTGGCCCCTCCGGATGAATGTCAATGGACAAACAAGCTCCAACTCGGCTGCAGGTGGCCACTCAAAAAGTTCTGCACCCAGTTTCAACAGCAGCATCCGGCAGTCATCGTCTCAGAAATCAACGTCAGGTAAATCCATTCACGAGGATAGGATTGATTCACGCAGACAAGGGAGTTCGAGCGACTTTCTGAACCCTGCTGCAAGGGAAGCAGATGATAAATGTGCAGGGAAGGGGCTTGAGAATGGGGGAGGGGGGTTTGAAGAAGAGCAGGACGATGTCCCAAATGGTGGACGGAATCGGGACTCGATGAGCAGACCTGGACACCCACCTCGACCTACGAGCTCATCGTCCAGGGGAAGCAAGGGGTCTGCAACATGGAGAGGCAGTTCTAAGAAGTCGGAGACAGGTGGCACGGGTGCTGACGGAGGTGGTGTACATACCCCTTCTCCCGGACCAGGTACTCCATTGGGATCTGAAGCAGGTGGTTCGGACCCAGCCAGTCCAACAGGTGCAGGGGCCAGGGTGGATGACAATGATGTGCCGGGAGTCGCACACTCCAATAGTCGTGCGTTGCTGGACTTAGAACCCTCACCTGAAAGGCCAGGGCCTTGGGCAAAACCAAGGGAGAACGATACAGATTTTGGAAAATCTGTGGCTTGGGCACAGGCTGCGGGAGAGAACGCATTCGCTGCGGCCAGTGCCATGGGTATGGTAATCGTTACAGGAAACTATGCCGGTGAGATTCGGACATTTCTCAACTTCGGAGCACCTGTGAAGGCTTGACTCTGGACCAGATATGCAGCCACTCCGGTCACAGGTTCCGTCTGTGCTTGTGTGTGCGGGTGGGGGAGTGCACACACACACACACAGACAGAGAGAGAGAGAGAGAGAGAGAGAGAGAGATGCGGGGAAACAGAGGGTTGTATAAAGGGCGTTGTCCCCTTGGAGAGGGGGTTTGCTGAGCCATAGCTTTCCATTGCTTGGAAGGGAAAGGCCAAACAGGTGGGGGTGATGAATCTCTGCTGATCAAGGGAGGCAAGTATAAGTATCTTGCATCTTGTCACTTCTGCGCTGCCGAGCAGCATGTATATGCTTGCTCCATTTTACGACTGTTTTAGCAGAAGGCTTTGTGACAATGCGCAGCAGGTTTCGTCATTTCTCCTCTCATCCCCGATTTCCCTGTGTGTTGCATTCTCTCCAGTCCTATTTTCTGCCTTACGGCCCGGTTAGGTTGCCTGTCCTCAAAGGTACTTTGGGGTGCTATTCTTTCTTCTTTGATCATTTGTGATCATTTTCTACAGTCTCTGCAGGCAAGTTTTTATCTTTTGTGAATTGACAGGCCGGGCTGAATCTCCTAGATCTCCATATTTTAGGCATTGGGACGTCTAACACGGCACTTCCTTTGATATAAGTGAGCTTCACTGTCTTCGACATGTTAGGTTCCGAAATCGAACATCTATTTTCTAGTCTTCGGAAAACGCATATCTGTGTTCTTGTCCTCTTCGCCATGCTCATCCCAGTATGGTCTTCTTCGCTATCCGCTTCCTGATCTCCTTTATCACAGTCTGTTCTATCCCTTCCTACCTCCTTGGACGCCTATTGACTGGCGCTCTTCTGCATTGAGGCCTCTTTTTGTTAAGGGTTTTGGGAGCAGCAGTTGAGCACAGATCCTCTTCAAGTAATGCCCACTTTTGAGAGCAGCAGTTGAGTACCAGATCCTCATCAAGTTATGCTCACTCAACCAACTCCTGGAGTCTCTGAAGCCTTTTGGATGGTAGCGCGTTTGAGCCTTGTGCTCATCTGTCGGCTTGCTGGCTGTTTCACAGTTGTGTGCAGGCCAGGCAGCCAGCCGGCTCGCCGACTGTGGCTTGCCCTTTTCCTTCTGTTCTAACCACTAATCTTCGTCGCCAGTACGCTTCCCCGGTGATTGTAGCTTTTACCTTTTCAAATTCGTCTAGATTGTCGCAGAGGGAAGGATGACGTTGGGAGTGCGTCCTCACTGTCCTTGTTCACACAAAAAAAGGGGTTGATCTTGCTGGCGTATGCCTGCAGCCTCTATCGAATACCAGTCTAAACATTCCAGCTTGCCCACCCACACCAGAGGTCTTACACTGTGGTTCTCGGACAAAGGCTTGTCTTCTCAACCTATATGCCACACGGTCATCCCTTGTATCTTTCATCATTACAGTCTGTTTCGTCTTCTCAGCCAACCAATTTGTGTCATGCGGGCGATGGACATTAGATTTTTCCACTTCTTGGAGCACAATCATTTGGATTTTGAAGTGGAGATTGGCAGGGATAAAAGTCTGTACAATGCCATCGAGCATCTTTCCCTCTTGCACAGAATCCTTTCTTCCACAGTGCACTCACGTTGTCCCTACGTTGACTTGTTTGTTTCCCTGTGCCCCACGTTCCTGATATGCACAACCGTGGCCTTCTCAATGAGGCTTCGTACCGCCACCCTGTGAGCTTGGTCTGACCGGATGTTCATCAATGCTCCCTCTTGGATTTCGCCGGGCCCATGGGGTACCATCCACCCTGCTCTCTTCTTGTGGGTACATTGTCACGTCATCAGCACTAGAAGCTTCTCCGTCTGGAAGGCTTCTTCTTCCCAGGCCTCCCTCTGCCAAATTCAGCATCAGCCAACTTCTCTCCTCTCGTCATCCCTTCTCTGTCCTGTCGTGTCACTCTGCATGTGTCCTAGTGATCCTCGTCCATTGCTTTCTCAGAGTCCATACATTCGACATTGGCGATGATCTCTCGCCCTGGACACTGTGAGGCCACCCCACCCCTTCTGTTTTATTTGTGTAGGTTCGTTGCTCTGTATCGAGGAGTTGAAGATTGTAGAGCGTCGTTCGGTCAGAAGGCTTCTACTGTGTAAGTGATTTTTTTTCTCGTTTTTAGGAGGTTGCTCTGTTGCTGTCGTTCTCCCAGCATAGAAGTTGCTGGGGCTCTGCCAGCTCCGACTTGCTTTTTGCTTCATAGCTACGTGACTTGCAAACACTGCAGTTTGTCAGAAGGATAATTCCTGATTAAGGAAAATGAGTGTCTTCACCTTTTCGGAGACTTTACGGGCTGCAATTTTTCCGTTCCTTTCATTTTTTCTAATTTTTTTTCTTTTCTTTAAACGCGATTTGTAATTACATACAGGAAGAAGGAGGGGATTCCCTCCCTCCCCCTCCCTCTCTCTTTTGGACGTGGGTGATGAATCCAGTGTGCATCATCGGCGTCTCTGGCAGCTGGATCACAAAGGGGAGGTGGTTGGTTCTGTAACACCAGGGACACAAACCACCACACTGTACTTGTCCATTGTCGAAATCTCCTTCGCTGAAATCACATAGCTTTGCTGCTGCTGCTGCTGCTGGGAAGGGGACCTGAAACCCAAGGAGATCCAATGCTAACAACGGTTTGTTCACTTGCCAGCTCAAATAGATAGATGTGTTAGTCTGCCCACATCTTTGATTATTACCTGGATTTTTCTACCGAAGACCCATCCTCTCTCCCCCTCCCCCTCCCCCTCCCCCCCCCCTTCCCCCTCCCTTTGGAAACAGAACATGAAGAAGACATGTTGGATGGAGTTTTCATGAGCAAGCGAGTGCATGAGTGGCTGTTCGCAGGTTTTAAGCTCAGCTCTTAAAAGACTAAATGTTCCGTCTGTGGATGGCTCTCCTTTTTTTTTTCGGCCTTCTTCTCTGGATGCAATAGACATAGCCGATCGAACGATAACCAACCTTGCAGTTCAGTCTTTGTGTGTGTGTGTGTGTGTGTGTGTGTGTGTGTGTGTGTGTGTGTGTGTGTGTGGGTGGGTATGTATGTGTGTGGGTATGTGTGTGTGTGTGTGTGTGTGTGTGTGTGTGTGTGTGTGTGTGTGTGTGGTGAGGACTTGTCATTGTCACATTATCATCTGCTCAGCTCTTAAAAGACTAAATGTTCCGTCTGTGGATGGCTCTCCTTTTTTTTTCGGCCTTCTTCTCTGGATGCAATAGACATAGCCGATCGAACGATAACCAACCTTCCAGTTCAGTCTTTCTGTGTGTGTGTGTGTGTGTGTGTGTGTGTGTATGTATGTGTGTGTGTGTGTGTGTGCGTGTGTGTGTGTGTGTGTGTGTGTGTGTGTGTGTGTGTATGTGTGTGTGTGTGTGGTGAGGACTTGTCATTGTCACATTCATCATCTGTATAAATGAGTATGTCATTTGCTCCCAGCAATGCTGACTAGCTGTGTGCACTGTGCACCCTTTTTTTGAAACCTTTGTCACTGGTGTAGGTCTCGTGAACTTTCGTCTGTACATTGTCGACTCCCGTAATGGACGTTTTGATGTATGCATGCTTAATCTCTTCCTGGACAACATACACAGCTGGTGGCAGCAATGTTCGACAAGTCCATGCTCTCTGTTCTCTGTTTTGTACCGGTGCTTTATGACGGGGTCTTGCTTCCGGTATCCATATTCAAATTTACATAGACAGAGACTTGTTGTGATGTCACTCTTTATGTGATAATGATGGTATCATTGATATGTAATATGGCTCACCCAAAAAAAGCTAAGTCATTTCCCTCGCAGTGGCTGGGTACTACAGTCTATTCCACTCTATTGTTGTTGGGGTGTATGCGTGTGTGTCTCTGTGTCTTTGTACACGCGCGTGTGTGTGTGTGTGTGTGTGTGTGTGTGTGTGTGTGTGTGTGTGTCGTATTATTAAGGGTTTCTGAACCTGAGTTAATGGAACCATAGAGTCATGGAATGGAACCTATTATTAAGGGCCATGGAAGCAAGAGCCTGCGGATCACAGAGAAGTTGAGAGAACCCTACTTTGTCGGAATCTCTTGTGTGGATGGTACCCCGGTATCGAGGTTTAGGAATGTTCTAGTTTGTTTGTATGAAGTTATTTGCTTCACCACATCTTTTTCGCTTTCCGTTTCGTGCAAAGTTGCATCGAGTCATGATGAATGCAAGAAGACCTGTTGCGGTGGTACGTATTGGTCTGATCCTACCCTTCTTTTCTTTTCGTCTTGCAACAAAGTTGCAGTCAGTCAGGTTTGCAATTGCATAATCGTTCTGCAATTGCCATCTGTAACCTGTTTTTTTTCACTTTTTTTTTTTTTTTTGCAATTGCCACCTGCTATACGGAGGGCGGTAAAGGAATGATTTGATTCCGAGTGGCTGCAAAGGGTGGAGTAGGCTGACGTATAATGACCGAACGAAGACCTGTAATGATATGGCATGTCCCCTTTGCTGACAACTGTGTCTATAATCCTCTCTTTGTTTTTTTTTTTTGTTTGTTTTCCGGGAATAACTCTCTCATTGTCAAGTTTGTGGAAGTGTTGCTTCTTTTGACGGTGAACTTCGCTTTGGTATATAGAGTACTTCGCGCCGTAAAGTGGTGCGCACTGTGTATCGTGTTTCAAAGAAACAGTTTGAACTTGTGAAGGTAGAGAGCGGTGCCTGCGGTCGCGTTATGACAGCAAATAAAAGATAAGAGACTAACTGCCCACAACATCGTGCGACTTACATGAATGAATTTTTCTTTCAAGGATCATCATGCTTGTGGCGACGATGAAGGATGGGAAACCTTGCTTTTTGTGGTCGGGGGGTGATGTGTGCGTGGAGCAATTGCGATGATGGACAGTGTGGAGAAAAATCCTTCTCCAATGCTCTTCTTGCCATGAGTTGGGCGACATGTTTTTTTTCCCCCCTCTGAAAAATATCGGAATCGGGATGATCAGATCCTGTTGTCTTTTTTTTAACGAGCTTTGAAATGCCACATGTTGCTAAATCCTGGTCTTTTTTACTTTTTTTTTTCCTGTATGTCCTGAAGTTTGCTTACTATTGACGGCTCCCCCTGGTTATCAAACTGTGTTGTGTAGGAGCTCAGGGTGGAGGATTTGAGAAATTGGTTGTGTAGTATGTGTACAGTGTACACATAAAAACAGTGGTTGATGAATTCAACCAGCCCGCTGCTTGCAGATTGCTTGTTAGCAGAAGCAAAGCCCAAGTCCTCAAACGCTATGTGTCTCTGCTGCCGCTTTTGAACTGGATGAGAGCTGTGAACAGTCAGCTTTTTCTCTGTGTTTCAGGTGTGTACTTTTGTGTAGTGACATTTTGAAATGTACTCGCTACTACTCGGAGTCAACAGTATGGAAAGAAGGCTCCAGCTGACAGCCAGCGTGTTGCGGCAAATGAGGTCGAAGGCAATGAAGGGTGCATTACGAGGCGTCGACACTGACGAGACGGTGAATGTGGAGCGATGCTGGTCGTCTGCTTCCCTGTACTCTGAAGCTGTGAACGATCAGTGGTCCTCGTCAACCAAGACATGTAAGAAGTTGCGAAGAACGCCTAAGAGTACGAGTGTTTGCGGTAGGTTGCATGAAGAGGAATGACACCCAAAAAAAAAAAAAAAAAAAAAAAAAAAAAAAAAAAAAGAAAAAGAAAAAAAAAAACATCGACACAAAACCGAAAAACCAGAAAAAAGGAAAGCAACGAAAAAAAAAAAAAAAAAAAAAAAAAAAAAAGGAACGCCCATGCTGATGTGAGTGTGTGTGCATTTCCAAGTGAGTGGTTGCGCATGCCTGCGACAGACAGCAGGACAGAGAATGCTGTGTTGTTTGTGTGCAGAGTTTTGGGCTTGGTTGGGTAAATGGCTTTGCACATGCATCTGTGTGTTGCATGTGTGCGTCTTGTTGTTCAGCCGGTTGGTGCGTAAATCTGATCATATGTTCAGCTTATTCGTTTTCAAACAAAGTTCGAGCTTCTGGTAGGAAGTTAGGAACATTTCTGATGGACACAGCGTTCCGTTACGGCGGCGTTTACACTACCTTCACAGTATACCTTCACCGCTTTTTCTCTGCACATGCGTCTGTGTGTGCGCGTGTGCGTCTTGTTGTTCGAGCAGTTAGTGCGGAAATCGGATCATATGTTCGGCTTGTTCGGTTTCAAAGTCCGAGCTTCTGGTAGGAACGCTTCTGAGGGACACGGCGTTCCATTACGGTGGTGTTTATACTACCTTCACGGTCTACCTTCACCACGTTTTCTCTGCACACGCGTCTGTGTGTGTGTGTGTGCGGCTTGTTGTTTGAGCAGTTAGGACGGAGATCTGAGCGTATGTTCATCTTGTTCGGTTCTCAAGCTTCGAGCTTGTGGTAGGAAACTTTCTGACGAGATGGTGTTCCACCACAGTGGCATTTATGCTTATATTCACCGCGTCTCGCTTTTCCTTTCCTGATTGCTTCCCCCCCCCCCCCCGGCCAAATTTCTCTGTTTTTTTTTGTGTTTTGGGGGTGTTAAGTTGTTAACGTTTTGATGTCTTAACCAAAACTATTTTGCTCAGGCCGAATCACTTTTTTGAGGTGCTGTCCACATTCCTCCAGCTTGTTTCTCAACCAAAACTATTTCGCTCAGCCCGAATCACTTTTCTGAGGTGCTGTCCATATTCCTCCGGCTTGATGCTTTTGGATATTTCATTATTTATATTGAAGACCTGATGTTTGAGGTGCATATGTCAGGGCATTTAAAAAAAAAAAAAAAGGACTTGAGGTTTGAGTGCATATGTCAGGGGATTTCATCCTCGATGCGGTGTGGCACACTCGAAGGCAGTGCGAGACGTTTCGAATTAGTATGTTGAGTTGAGGCCGTTAACGTAATTATGTGTTTGGGGATAATGGGAGACAGTGTAGCTCACGCAAAGGGTACTTTCCAGACTGTTTTGGTTGAATCAACTTGAATGCGATTGGAATACCTGATAGTCCGGGTGTGAGTGTTTAGTCACAATTGTGTTGTTTTGTTTTTGTTTTTTTTTTCCACTTTTTTTTTTTGTTTTTTAGGGGAAAAAAAAGGTGAAGGGGCTTGGGATATCATCACTGGACTTGAGAGCAGCACGTGTTTATCTGACTGCATCTGGGTTTGGACTTTGGTCTGTCTTTCAACTGTTCATTGGTGTACCAACCGAGCCAGACCCGTTGGTAGTAGTCCTCACAATTGTTCCTGCTTAGGGCTGTTTACTTGAAATTCTACTCTCTATTTAGGGCACCTACTCTATTTAGGGCACATATTCACACAGTACGACTTTTTGGACACAGCTCCGGACGTGATTGCAGTCAGATGCATCCGGAAGTGATTGCAGTCAGATGCATCCAGGTTCGGCTGTAATTGCGGGCAAGGTACATTTAGTATGGAAGTGCTTCTAGTGTGAGTACACCCTTGTTCTGCTTGCTACGGTGGTCACCCGAATACAACATACGGTTATTATACTTGTATTTGCGGCAACTGAGAGTGTGGATACAGCAATAATCATGAATGATGATCGTACGTTGTATTCAGGTGAATACAGTAGGAACGTGTGTTCGTGATTTCTCAGTGGTCTTGCCTTAGGTACTTGTGGAAGTATTCACGTGACTATTAGCCAGGCCCTGTCGGCCCCAGAAAATCTCGAGCCCTTGGGCACAGGCCAAATTCGGAGAGTTGAGGGCCACGCGACCCTCACAAGGAAAATGCTAAAACACTTGAAGGCCAGGGCCCCAGTCCAGAAGCTTCCAGTCCAATTTAGAGGTCCAGTCCCGTTAGAAGTCAGCAGGGTCCAGTTTGGGGCACTTGCAGGCCCAAGTCAAGAAAGGTCTAGAGGTCGAAGTCTACCTATTGGGCCTAAAGAGTCCAGAAGTCGAGCCGTTACTGGTTGGACCTGGTACCAAAGGAAAAGTCCGAAAGTCGAAAGTCCAACCTTTCTGCTGCAGCACCTTCCGGAAGGCACCGGTACCCAAGAAACATGCAGTCCACTGCAGACAGGCCCAAGCGGCGGGTACCGGTCCAGACAGACCAACCCAGTCCATGCAGCTATATAAGCAAGCACAGTGCCTTGGCGATTCATTCAGAGTTGGATGTTGTGGAAGCACTGCGCGGCTTGTGCGACCATCGCGACCCTGTGCCCTGTGGTAAAGAGGAGGACGACGTGAAGCAAGTTGGAGGCGACTAAGAGGAAGGCGGCCATAGCCACTGGAGACCAAGGAGGCGGCTGTATTCAGGGATAGATCCAGGCATAGAGAACGTGAGGCAGAGGGGGAGAGGAGAGGGAAGAGATCGTGTACATACTAGAGGAAGAGAGGGAGATCATGTACATACGGAGAGAGGAGAGAGAGGGAGAGACTAGTGAGACACATATCTGAAGCTGTTGCCGGATGCAGGTTGCTGGGCCGTAGGAGTAGCAGCTAGATTTTTCAGCTGTGTAAATTCTTGAAATAAAACAAGTTGGTTGTCCTCTTGGTACTCGCTACTCGTGCGTAATTGGAAACCTGTTGAACATTCTCTTCTGAGCTTGTTTGATGACAACTGTATGTGAGATCATTGCACTAGCAGCAGTAGCTGCAGTACTGTTTCTTTTGTTTTTTATTTCTCAACTGTTTCAAATGTGAATCTGACTGATTGTAATCTGTTATGGTCCAAATGCGAGAATCTCCACGCAAGCGTTCCTTGAACTGTTCGAATTCTTTCTTTTTTTATTTCTTTTTTTTTCGGTCACACACAGGCCCTTCCATCCTGGGGGGCAGCAGTCCGGTTACTTATCCCCGGCAAGCATGTTTGTACAAAGACAGTGGGGGAGAAAAGAAGATAGAAGAAGAATCAGCCTAACCCTTGTGGCACTAGCCGGGGGGGGGGGGGGGGGGGGGGGGGGGGGGGCAGCATCTATGCACCCCACCTCTAAACCTTTGCCCCCCCCCCGGTGGATCGCCCTACGGCCGGGAGGCTTACTACCAGCACCCAGACACACAGTAGGGCAATCCCAGGGGGGCTTGGCGCGGGGGGGAGCGTTCAGGGCATTCCCTGAGGGCGTTTACCAATCATCAACTGTTTGCCTTGCCTAGTATCTGCCTACTGCTGTCCTGCACAGGTCTACCTCACACATACAGCCTACCCTCTTCCCATGTAAGCCTTTGACAACCTTTACCATCCCTGAAGCCCCATCCAATCGCCTGTACCCTTCGCCTAGATTCTATTGCAAGCCTGTTATTGTCCTACCGACGAGACATTCATTTCTAATTATAGTGGCTCCAGCGTGCCTCTCATCCCCTCGTCCTGTCTCCAACAGCTTCCTGTGTTTTCTGCGTTTCAATACAAAAATCCCTCTCTAAACAGGTTCTTCTCTTCCCCTCCCCCCACCGGCCCTAGCCTATGGTGTCTTCTACGGTATGTACCTACCTACCTATTGTACATCTACCTTTCTCACAATCACTCTCCTTTCTGTTCTACCTGCCCGAAAAACCTAGCTATATTTCACACCGCCTTCTTTCATGAGGATCTGTCCCCCTCTTCCTACTCATCCCCGACTTCCCCTTCTAGGTCAGCCCCAGGCATTTGACGCAGCAAAGCTGGGTCCAGCTGCATTAGGCCCATCTGGGGGTGCCGGGTGAGTAGCTGCAGGTACGGCCTCCATTTTGTGCAGAATCCTCTCTTTCTATTCACCCATATGCGTGCATCGATGCAGATCTGCCGAGAGGGCAATTCTGATGTTCTCCAGCACCCTTTCTTGATACGTCGCAGCGGCCGTGGAGTTCCCTGTCTACATCGCTCGAAGTCCACAGAGCCCAAAGCACCGACCCGGATAATCTCTGAAGCCATCAGGTCCTCCAGCTGTGATCTATCCACCTTCGACAAAGCATCAAGGAGGATAGCTGCGTCATCCGCCTCCGCTCAAAGTCCACAGAGCCCACAGCACCGCCGCCCGGATAATATCTGAAGCCATCAGGTCCTCCAGCTGTGATCTATCCACCTTCGCCAAAGCACCAAGGAGGATAGCTGCGTCATCCGCCTCTGTGACTCCCAGAGGGGTTTTGTCCGTCATCTCCTGCGCCCACCATTCCCAGAAGGCCCGGACTACCGGACATCTCACAAAAAGACGAGAGACGGAGGGCAGCCAAGATGGCGCTTTGCTCATTCTGTCTGCGGTGAGTCCATCTGCTGACATAGGCATCCGGGATCCAGTCCCTCTTGGCCCATCGGCCTTTCAATTCTCTGCATCCAGGTCCACTAAAGAGTTTTATATGCTCTTTGTGGCAAGACACTAGAGCTGCACCGCCTTTCTCTGCGTCCTTTGAGCCGACCACTCCCACTCCACCGGGTCCCAGACCAGGTCCCATCTTTGAGCCGCAATTCGGAATGGCAGGTACTGTCCTTTCCCCTTTGGACTCCCTTCACACACCGCCACTGTTTGCATCATGCACCTATCCATCATTTTTCGGGGGTTTCCCTCTTGCTCACCAGATTCCTGCAGGGGCTCCCCCAGTCGTCCATAACCTGAGTTCACCTGCCATCCCATCACTTCCAGGTTGCCGTCTTCCATCACTTGCTCAACCTTGTAGACTCTGTCCGGTCTCAGGCTTCCTCTCACCTTCAGCCATTCCCCCGGAGTTATTTCATCTCTTCTTAACATCTCAGTCCACTGGGGGGGGATGGCTTCCCACAATTCTTGAAGTCTTTGCCTTCGCATCCGTCCCTGCAGCGATTCCAGCACGTCGTTATCAGGGCGCCAATCCTTCCGATCTTCATCCCATAGATGTCGCACTTTGTAAATGCCCTGATCCGCCCATTTCCAGCCTTATGCTCCTCGCGGGCCGTTCCACAGGAAGGATTTGCCAGCCTCGTCACAGATGAATCTGTTGTCGAACAACAGCTGGTTGTAAACTGCCTCCGCTGTTTCCGGTAGGCGGCAGCAGCTTAAACGTGCCTTTTTCTACAGTGCCACCTTTGTGGACCATATGGTGTCCCTGCGAATGTGGCCTATGGCTTTGTGGCGAAGGAGGCACAGATCCACCAGTTTCCTAGGCACGTGGAGTGCATATGCCAGGTGGGTCGTGGTGATTTCTTGCCATGCTTCCCCCACTGTGCCGAACAGATGCCATACCAACTTGCGCATCTGCAGAGCAATTATCTGCCTCCGCAGATCCAGCAGTCCCAGGCCTCCGAAGCGCCTTGGTTGGATGAGCTTGTTACAGGCCACTCTGCATATGGAGTCCTAAGCCTGCGAGTTGCTCGACCATAAGTGTGCACGGATCCCCTTTCTGATGTATCTGAAGTTGCACTTTTCTGGCATATGCACCGCACCTGCATACCACAAGGTCGCAAGCACCGAGTTCTTAATTACCAGGGCCTTCCCAAAGACGCCCATGTTCCTCCTTGCACTCCATGCTTTGAGTCGGGCTACCGCCACTGTGGCTCGGACTGCCATCTGTTCGACCCCGCTGTAGCTGGGCGTCATTTTCGCCCCCAAGAAGGCCATTTGTTCACATTCAGTTACCGTGGGGACGGCCCATCCCTCTGGCGGGTCAACCCTAGGATGGCTTTTGATTTCTGCCAGTTGACCCTCACTCCAGAGTATTTACAGAATATTTGGAGGTCATCCTTGAGAAAGGCCAGCTGCTGGGTCGCGGGGGGGAGCACTGCTCCCAAATGATCTGCAAACGTCGTCAGGTCACCTTGATTACATTGGACAAATGCCATCAGGTCGCCTTGATTACATTGGACAGAATCTGGCGGCCCGATACGAAGCCTGTCTGGGTGCAATCAATGATGCGCGGCCGTACCTCTCTCAGGCAGGTCGCATTACTTTAGCCAAGATCTTGTATGGTGCATTAAACCACCAGTACTTGGCCCAGCTAGCGACGCTTTCCCGTTAATGCGCCGCGCCTTTAGGTCTTCGGGGTACCGGACCACAATGGCTGGAAGTGCCAGCCAAAAAAAAATTGAAACGGTACCCCGGCGCTTCGACGAAAATTGGCGTGCAGGGGCATTCCAGGCTCGGCATCGATAGCTGGGCCAAGTACTGGTGGTTTAAGGATGGATATCGATCGGCCTCCAGTTTCACACGTCCTCCTTTGCCCCCTTCTTATAAAGCAAGACCACATATGCTTCCGCAAAGCCGTGCGGAAAAGATCCATGCTTAAGTGCCTTGTTATACGTAGCGGTCAGTAAGGTCACGAAGAAGTTGCGGATGTCTTTGTATAATTCGACCGTCATCCCGATCCAGGCCCGGTGCCTTGAGGCAGGGGCGGTCCACAATGGATCTCTCCACCTCCTCTGCCTTAATCTCTTCATCTAGTGCACAGGTACTTGCCAGGTCCAACCGATTGCGGATATGCCTCCACACTACTCGCTCCGGCTACTTTGCCATATCCTGCGGAGTCCATTCCTCCTCTTCGGTTAGCAGCTGGCAGTAGAAATATGTGACGCATTGCAGGATCCCCCTCGTGCTGCGCTGCTTTACCTGATTATCGTCGAAAGGGGGGTGGGGGTCCATTGCTGTCATCAACGGTGCCACCTTGCGAGTGCCTGCTGTGGCAAAGAACTATCGTGCCATTCGTTCCGCCACTGCAATCCAAACCTCCTTAGTGCGCCTCCCCCAGTCAACCACTTCCTCCAGGCTCCCGCTGCCATTCTGTCCATCCTCGTGCTGCCTCCACCCACTCGGCCCCCCATTCGCCTTCCATTTACTCCCCCGCTGGACCGCTGTTCAATTCCTCCATTCTTTGGCCGTATTCCTCCCCCGTTTGTTGATGCACCAGGTAGCTGCAGCACAGCTGTTTGACCAGCCGTTCCCGCAGCTGCCGGACTGCCGGTGCAATGTGAGCTAGCAAGTTTTCCTGTGGGCAGTCATTTATCCATTCCTCCCAAAACCGGGCCACCTCGGGCCGAAACTCCGTACTCTTAAAGATCCTTGCCCGGATCGCCTTCGGGGGGTGACCCATCTACAGCTGTCCCACCGGATAGCTTGCTATCGACGCTGAATGGTCCGACGTTGCCTTGCTTGCTGTTGACACTGAATGGTCCGACGTTGCCTAACTTGCTATTGACGCTGAATGGTCCGAGTCGCCTAACTTGTTATTGGCGCTGAATGGTCCGACATCGCCATCGGGGAAATGTGGGCCTGCTCTAGCAACCTCCTTGTCGCATCATTGCATTGCGAAGTGTGAAGGAGTCGGTTCCGGCATGCCTTGCTATGGCAGAGTCCAGCGGAATGTCCACAACCGAGTTGAAATCCCCTGCTAGTATGATCTTGTTGAGATCTCGGGTCAGGGTCTGCAGCTGCTCCCACATCCTGCATCGCAGCCCAGTCTCCGTCGGGCCATACACTGTGACCGTGGCCCCTTGGGTCAAAGTATCAGTCTTGAACTTCCCCTCTGAAATGGGGTAGACCAAGATGCAGACCCCCCTTTTTGTTCCTCGTGCCGGCGTCCATACTTGGTGACTCTTCCACCATAGCACCGGCTCTGCTATCTTGTCGCCATCCAGCTTGGTCTCTTGCCAGCCGATGACGTCAATCTGTTTCTGTCTGACCTTCTCCACTGCAATCAGACTCGCTTTCAAACACACTTTTCACACATGTAAACAGTACGCAGCACACTGGCGACATGCGCCCACTCAAAACTCAGAGATGTGGCTTCAGATACGAGTTCACTCTCAAATGGCTATGGCGACTTCAGCGCCCAAACATCTCACTATTCACATGCACTGGATCACCCTGGATATCCCACACGCATC